ATTATTAATTATACGGTAAAAATGATGTGGGTTTTTTTGTGGGGGGAAGGGTACAGGTCCATTAATTTTAACTTATGTGTGGATTCATGTTACCACCATCACAACCAGAATACAGAACAGTTCATCACTGAAAAAAACTCCCTTGCACAGCCTCTTTGTAATCAAATCCTCCCACATCAACACCTAGCAACCACTGATTCATTCGTGATCATTATAGCTTTGCCTTTTCAAGATTATACAAATGGAATCATAAAGTACATAATATTTTTTGTTTGTTTTTTGTTTTGTTTTGTTTTGATTGAAGAATAGTCAGTTTACAATGTTGTGTCAATTTCTGGTGTACAGCATAATAGTTCTGTCATACATTTAACTTTCAATATATTTTTCTAACAACATGTAGTGGCAAACATTATATCCTTGCCTTGAAAAAGACAAGATCCTAAACATCTGTTCACTTTCTATATCCTACCCTACCTCCATTCATGGTAAAGCCATGAAATTTAGTTACATACACATAATATTTACTTGTATTTTTTCTACTTACATTTTTTCTAATTACAAGCATTCCTGGTGATTATTAAAATCTTTCATGGATTCATTGTTCAGTTTGCTTAGTAATTCCTAGAGCAAGATTTCTTCTAGTCATACCGATATCACATTGTATAATTCAACAAATATTTGTGCACTTACTGTATGCCAATTACTGTGTTCTGAGAGTCTCACTTCTCTTTCATAACTTCTATCTCTCATCCCTTTGCAGTGTATATTAAGGGATTGAGCCTTCCATTTCATGAATTCAAGCTTCAGCTCAATCTATTCTGCTATATAGTCCATTTTCTGAGTGTTTTATTTTCACAATCATATCTTTAATTTCCAGAAACTAAATATTTCTTTTTCCTACCATCCTATTCTTGATGGCTGCAATATCTTCATGAATCTCTGAGGATCTTAACTGTATTGATTTTTAAATTTCTTGTTTCTTTTAGTAACTACTTTCTTGAGCAGGTTAATTTGTTTTACTTTGGTGTCTCCTTTAAGTTAGTGGTTTTCTTCAACTTTGATGATTCTTGGCATTTTTATAGACAAGGGCCTAAGAACTAAAGTTTGAAGTGCTTTTCCTCAGCCAAATGAAAATTCTAGTTCACTTTCAGTGAACACAAATTCTGATTACAGGCACCTCTGGTGATTATACAGGGAGTGGCAGGCCACACCATAGCCAGGGAGTGTGGCAGCTTACTTTCAGTTCCTACCTGTAGTCATTCTGGACAATCCCCCTATTCTCCAATCTCAGTGTTCCTTGTATCAGAACTCCCACTTCAGAGAGCTACTTTCCTAGCTGAGCTTGGTGTCAAACTCCATAATTAGGTACTTCAAAGAGTTAAGTGAAATGGCTTAGCTGTTCCACTCTTTAATTGATTTTTCTTTAACCTGCTTTTTATCTCTAGAAACTCTGCATTTTTAATGTTCTGGTTTTCAAACTCTGCTATTCATTTACTTTTATTTTGATATTTCTCCAGTCATTTCAGTAGCATTCTGGAAGAGCAGAAGAATGCGTTCAGTCATCCATGTTAAACTGTAAGTTCTAGCATGTAGTTTATTATCAGGAGCTTCTAAAAAATTAATCATGTCCTTTCTTGCTGATCTTCTAAAAATCAAGTGCTACCATTTTGAGGTTAGGGATTATTCTGTAAATATCCATTTGAAATTAGACTGATTCCTGGACATGGTGCTGGATAGGCACACAATAGTAATTTTTGACCAAAAGTAATTGTGGTGGATTTAGGGCAGGATAACAAGCTCTTTGCAACAGTATCACATCTGACGCTGTTAAAACCCCCAAATTCCTATTTGCATGGATTGCATATGCTCTGGTAAACACTTAGCAAAGGTACACAGTAATTTCTCAGTAAAGGTACAAACTTGTAACCTCTAACCCAAATGAAAATACTTAATTTTAATTAAGTGATACTGCTTTAGGTTTAGTATTGAAAGTTTAACAAAGTACTAAAATTGTACATATTCAAGCAGAAAAGAATCCGTAATTATAATTTTTAATGGAATCATTTCAAATGATTAATAAAACATGTAAAATGTGAAAGAATTTTAAAACTATACTTACGTATGTCTATATATGTATCTTTAAAAATCTGTGGTCAAATAACCCTCCCAGACTTCAGACACTACAGACCTACAGTAATCAAAACAGTGTAGTATTAGCATAAAAACAGACATATGGACCAATGGAACAGAAGAGAGAGCCCAGAAATAAACCCACAGACCTATGGTCAGTTAATCTTCAAGAAAGGAGGCAAGAATATACAACAGAGAAAAGACAGTCTCTTCAGCAAGTGGTGTTGCGAAAACTGGATAGCAGCACGTAAATCAATGAAGTTAGAACACTCTCTCACACCATACACAAAAATAAACTCAAAATGGATCAAAGATGTAATATAAGACAAGACATGATAAATCTCCTAGAAGAAAACATACGCAAAACATTCTCTGACATAAATCTTAGCAATGTTCTCCTAGGGCAGCTTACCAAGGCAACAGAAATAAGAGAAAAAAATAAACAAATGGGACCTAATTAAACTTACAAGCTTTTGTACAGCAAAAGAAACCATAAGCAAAACAAAACAACAACCTACAGAATGGGAGAAAATATTTGCAAATGATATAACTGACAAAGGCTTAATTTCCAGAATATATAAACAGCTCATACAACTTAATAACAAAAAACAAACAACCCAATCCAAAAATGGGCAGAAGACCTAAACAAGCAATTCTT